ACAGGTAAAGTGCTATACAACAGTCCAGTCACATTTATCTGTCACCACAACACAGCGTTTTTAACAACCTGATTGCATTGTCAGTGCAGACAGTACTTTTGGATTTTGCGCAAAACGTCTTTCCTATCTGATTCACCGGAGAAAACACGAGACTGAAAACCAAGAACAGACACTCTGCTGCTTTAGCTTCAAAGCTCGCTTCTGCCACACATTGATTCCTTTGAGTGAGGCTTTTAGACTCCCGCCCATTCTCAAGCAATATTACCATCAGCCAGTCAGTTCCACTGCCCAGAGAGAAAGTTTTACTCCATGTAGCTCCCAATGTGGGTACCGGCACCTGCAACGCCTTCAGCTCTCTGAAGCCCCATCGAGTGTTTCCCTACCCTGCTGCGACTTCTTCCTTGCTGTACTTACGGAAACAGCCCTGCTTCCAGTAGTATCCGGGCTGACAGTCTTCGCATTTCGGCCCAGTTGCACCATCTTTGCACATGCAGTAACCCGTCTCATTGCAGCGGTCGTGTTTGGAGCCCATCAGGTTACAGTTACATTCTACAGAGAGATTAACAGGGCACTGCTTTGGTGCAGAGCAGGGGCAGAAGGATGCCTGGCTAAGAAGCATGCAGTTCCTATTCCAAGGCTCCCCCTCAGCCCTCCACACCCTCCCTCTCTCCCTCTTGGGTGTTGTATCACAGGCCGAGCAGGGCTCATTTCTGCATGTTAGTCAATGAAGAGTAATGATCCTCATTCTTCTCTGTGACCAAACTGCCCACTCCATGGCAAGAAGTTTGCTTAGAGGCGAAAGTTTAATCTATTGGATACAGGGCTTGACATTTACTCTTATAAACATCGTCATGTTTTCTGACAGGAAAAGTCTAGAATTCAAGCCCGGTTTATTCTGTAACAGAAATGGAAAATGTACAAAGACAGCAGCAACATGGCACATCAACACCACAGGGCATGATCTCTTCTGTTCATTTCAGATGCATTTCCTTGAAAACTTAATCTAAAAAGTAACCTTGACAGACTTGTAATCAATCGGAAGTCTTTGAAAAATCCAAATTCATTTTTGACATGAAGATGAAGATAGGCCTATGAAATATGTGATGAGCTATTGCTATTGGGATGTGTTCCACAACAGGTGCATTCAAACATTTAGATCTGACTACCAAAAGCCATTTTTGTGCCAATTGGAATAGAACAAGGCACAAAAATAGATTTAATAATACTACAAATTTAATTTAATTAAATCAAAATCATAGGCAACTGAAATGACCAAACACAATTTTTAGTTTTAATTAGAATTTTGATTAAAAAAACTGAATTTATCTAAATTGTTCTTTAGGGGCTCATGATACTGGGATGAGTAAAACTGCAAATATTTTGATTTAAATGACTACAATTCTCTTTTCTTATAACTTTATTTGCTTCTTCAGGGGGAACAGAGAAGCTACGATTTAAAAGCTGTAGAGGGTCTTTATTCAAACTGCCATCTTAAAGCCTGTTAGTCTCATCTTGCACAGATCTACCTGGGGATAATATGAAAGGTAAGCTTTTTTTCTTTTCAGCCGCCTTGTTATAATTTCATTGTTAGACTTGCCTACTTGGTAGGCCAGACTATAAGGGTCCTCTGAGTGATTATGGTTAAAACAGCTACATTATCCCACAGTTTTTCATTTCTACTCCCTTAGTGAAAAGTGGTGCTCAATTCTAAAGCACAGCTATGGTAATTTTAATATGTGTGGGCCAGTGGAAGGCCATTTCTGTTTGGGAACCTAAATGTAATGCCTGTTATGTATTGATATTTTCCCTTATCAGTTAGGGTTTCCTAATTTTGCTCTTGCTACAACTCCATTGAAGTGGTCTCATTGAAAAGGATAAATGTTTATTTATTTGAATTGAGGGCATCTAATTTAAAGATGAATGTTCTCTAGGCCTTGTTGACAACAACAGCTGTGGTGAATTTCAGATGGCTTTTTTAAAAATCTCCAATTAGATTTTATCCTACGGAATTTGGTGTTGCTTTTTTTGATGTCAACTAACCCAGTCTCAAATTTGGTATACTTATACCGTAGAGCCCAACTTGTGCTTGACAAGATAAAGTTTTTTTGTTTTTTATACTTTATACCCCTAATGAAAATTGAACTTTTTTTTCCCTCTTATTGGATATGACTTGTTTGAGAAATGAATTAGAAATTAAAGATTAATTTACTGCTGATGACCTTTGTGACTCTTGGAGAGGGCAATCATATTTTTTTATATATTGCAGAAAATAGGATAAACACACTGAACCATTCCTTATCTAACAGGAAACTGTTAGGGGACTCATCTAGGTTTTTTGTTTCTCTACCAGTAGAGGTCAGCATAAGGCAACACACTCCTAGTGCTGTTAAATAGGCACAGTTTCATAGTTTTAACTATTACACAGTATCTATGAATTACATATTCTTCCTCTGCTGGGATTTAATTAAATGTTAAATGAAATTTTATTTCAATTAAACATTTTAATTAAATGGTCTAAGCAAGCTTTAGTAAGGTAGTCACTATACCTATTTTTAAACTGGAAATATTAGTTGTAAATAATAAAACAGTAAATAATAGTCTCTAACAATAAATCTTATTTCAATTAAACACCATATGTTTTTGGTTTAAACAATGCCATTTTTATTTAAGTTATTTTATCATGTAATTGTGTTGTTGATTTCATGCTCAGTTTGTGCTCTGCTATGTAAACTCTTGAAAAGCAGTCTTTGCTATATAAAGCCAAATGGAAATATGCAGTTTATTCTATGTTATTGATTAAATTATAAGAATTTTAGAATACAATTAGACTAAAGTTTTATGTTCTTTTTACATGCTGTATTTCTAATTAAGTGTTTGCAGACACTGAGCTTTATTCAACGAACTCGTTGAGTATTTTAGGCTGTTTCATTATCTGTGGGTTATTTTTGCATTTTCTTTCAATAATCAGTAATCATCAGTTTAAAAACACTTATACGGGGGATGATTTTCACATACAGTACACCAGCAGTTTCACTTTGAAAATAAAGGCATTTTAATAAATCAGCATTATAGATCGAAAGTACATGACTTTCTGAAAACGATAGCATTATACATCACCCTGAACTGCCACAACCCACCAGTTAATCTTCAATTAACTTAAATTCCAAACCACTGCGCACTCACTTTTCAAAGTGTTTGCTTCTATTCAGCAATGGAGTATCCTGAAGGCTGCATTTTGTCTGACATCACTAAAGTGATGCTGGGAAAATGCTTTTCTCCTGCAGATGTGATTGATGTCACACAAACAGCTGCCTTGAGGTGGAGAACGCACTCCTGGACTGAATGGATGCTCACATGTTAAAACTAAGCTCTCAGGGAGATATGGGTCTCATCAGTATGAATTGCCTGCTGCTGATAGGATTATAACATAGAAGCCCTGTTTGGCGAGCAAATCGTAAAGGAAATACAAAGAAGGGGTTTCCCAAGAAGATTGCACAACCTTCCAAAGTTGTTTTATTAATGATATGGAATTTAGCCAACCTTCAAATTCAGAGGATATCTGGACTCACATATTTAAAAATGTGTGCAGAGGGTAGGAAACCATACGAACACTGGGACGAATATCATACAAGGACAGAGCATTTTGCTTAAAGATGCAGGAGGAAATGTGTGAAACTAATCTACGTTAGTCCAAATATATTGGGCCCTTATTTCCAGGATAGGCTCATGATTAAAGGAGTCAATCTGACTACAGAGAAGACACTAACCCATAGCACCATGGCCTCTAAAGACACTGGATCTTCACTGTTCACACACTTCTTCACTTCTTGGTTAATTGCAGTGATCACATACAGGGTAATAATACAAGACATAATTATTGTCTGTAGGTTAGTACAAGTCAATACAATAAATGGGACCCTGGTTTGCCTACAACTTTGTCAAGAATTCCCCCTGACCCATCTGGAGGATGGTGTTAATGCTATTTCTGTGTCAGTGTGGTGACAGTCCAGTCAGCACTAGTTCTTTAAAAGGCATTGCCTGTGTATTGTTGCCAAGTAATTTTGTTATTGTAACCTAGACATGTGTGACTTAAAGCTTATGCTGATGTTTAACTGTATGAAATTGTAATAAAAAACATCCTTTTTGTTGCATATAGAAAAAATTGAAACTGAAATGCGAATACTTAAATTACCTGGAATTACAAACCACAAAACATTTAGACTGGTCATTCATTTTTCACTGCCCTGTGATTAGTTGCAAGGGAATGAGACTTCTGTAAATGATTTTGTGCAGTGCACCCTAGAATAAAAAGGCTTCATCTAGCAATTTCCTCTACATTTAATTTGTTCAAAAGTTCTCGCTTGACATCATATCATTATAACACTTTTTAATTCAGCATAAAATTATTGTAGTTGCAAAGCAAAGACAGAATTTTCTCTTTAAAACTGCCATGAAATTTAAAGTTGTTGTATTGCTCATTGTCATGTTGGCAGTATACAGCACATTTAGACAGTAGACTTGACAGGTCTGCTATAGGTTAGTACAAGAAAAAAGAAACTAACAGTACTGAGTTTGTCTGGTTAACGTTTCTTACTACAAATTCAGTGCTTTCAGGTACATTGTTGTATCAATAAATACCTTACAAACCCAAAGAGTTTCTGCTATCGGAGGTGAAGTAAAAGCAATGCACAGATACCTATGTTGTCGAGTGTGGAATTCCTGACTGACCTATACAAACGTTCTCATCGTCCAGCTCCGCAGAAGCATTCCGGAAGTATCCATGGCGGCAGGCTTGACAGTTCTGCCCCCTAGTGTTGTGTTTGCAGCTGACGCAAGTCAAGATGTTGAGAAAATCAATATAACTGCAGCGATTTGAGTGGCCATAGCACTCACAGTCTGACAGAGGAGAGAGCAAAGCAGTGTTAATGTCATATCCAGGGTTGTAAAAAGGGTGAGGGGTGAGGGGTGGGGAGAGGGGAGCTGTGAGGATCAACCTGTGTCTCATTCGAATGATTTGGGCTGGAAGTCTGTCATGGAAGTGTGTGCTTCAAAACAAAAAACACATCTTGTTTACTCCACCACTGAGCGCATCAAGTCAAATTCGTGTAACTAATTATTAATGAAGTGTTTTTCCAAATGCTTCTTTCCTCCTTGTTGACAGTATTCAAAAATTCTCTGTGATGTTTTGTATGAGCAGCAGATTTGTCCACAACAGCTCCTGTACTAGTTATGTGAAGTTAGAATGTATATAACTTTATAAAAAATCATCAGCTCTCTTCTAAAACTTCGCCTGCAGAGAATTATACTCTACAGTGAATGCGTGATTTGTATAGATGATTCTCTGTTTTGTCTTGTTCCGTTCTTTGTCTCTGATGCGTGTGAGATGATCTGAAGAAACATGTTTTTACAGAAGAGTCTTTTAAACTCTTCCATAAAAACATGCTTATCAAGTAAAAACAATAGCTATGACTTTGAGCAGCTAATTTGCGAAGCCAGCCAAATTTGCTGCATGCACAATGCATTAATGTACAGACTTGAGGTATATTACGGACCTCCAATGTGCAGTGCAAAGAATTATTGAAAAAAGGCTTTCTTCTGTGCATTGTGGAACATGAGTGTCTAAATGTGGAGTAAAGTTAAATACTCTTAATTATGATGCATTTTTAAACCTTTATTTGAACAGACTAGACCTTGGAATACATGTTTAAACACTATTATGGCTAAAGTGAATGATTATGGTTGCAGTTGTACTTGAATATTGCAATTTCAAGGTGTGATCAGTAATGTTTGTTTGGAGCCCGTTAATTCTGATTTGGTTGCACAGGAAACAATGACTTCAATAACTACAGTATACTGAAAGGATCTTAAAATGTAGATCTTGGATTCAGCACAGCCCTTGATCTTCAATTATACCCACGTCATTCTCTAAAAGAAATAATAAGCACAATGAAGAATAACCAGCCTCAACAAAGTGAACCAAACATTATATTACCGGACAATAGTGGTGGAGTAACTCTCTAGGAATTGATAATTCTTTTAAAATACCTGTGACCATAGTTAATACGACCACATTATCTAAAGAGAAGGCCAATTAATACAAAACCAAAATTACTGTGTTGCTTATCACACAAAGCATAACTCACCTTTATTGTTAAGATTTATAAGACCTAATTAAGGTTTTATAAAGCTTTAGAAGAATTCTTCTTCATTGATACTGAAAGCCACTGAACATTCTTTTATAAATTCATTTATGAAACATGTTTATGCATAGTATCTGTTTAAGGATATATTTAGACCTGTTTAGTACAGGATTGCTATGTTTAAGCAGGAGTTACATAATCCTTTACCCTTTTTGTCCTTATGTTTAAACATTTATGGGATGTTTTAAAGACAACTGTATAAAAACTTCTTTAGAGAAATTTGCCCATCATATCTGTGGGAAATGAGGGCAAGGACTACTAATTAAATATAAATGTCCAATTACACTCCAGATTGTTGTGGGAACAGGGAGTTGTTTCACAAATTATTGCAGGGCCTAGAAAGGCTTTCAAACAGATTCTATAATCAAACAGCACATGGTACAAAGTTGCTTGTTTTATGGAGGATGAGGGATATTTTTATTTGGCAAAAAAATATCTTCGAGCTCAAATCATTCTTAATATTTGAGATAATTTTGGTTAGGCTTTTAAAAGAAGCAATAACTTTAACAACGCACTGGAACAGGGGCAAAATCACAGGAGAAAATATCAAAAGAATTTTCACAGCAGCCGATTGGGTAGAGACAACAACAGGCTTACCTTAACGGGTCATATTTAAACCAAAACATGCAAACAAAGATGAGAGGATGATAAAGAGAGGGACATCAAACAGCGATGAAAAATTTGGAAGAAAAAAAAAGTCAACAAGAACAACAACAAAAAATTAGATGGTTAATTTTTCCACAGTTACAGTTTTAAAAGTAGTTTTTAGTACGTTATTCAAAATCTTATTAGTTTGCTATTTAAATTAAATAAAAAATCAAAGCTTGTTATGGAAATATTGTTTAAATTGACAAAATGCTCTCTTCTGTTTTAGTCTTCATCTATTTCAATATTTAGAGCTATTTAGTTTTACCTTTACAGGCTAATGGGGCAGTATTCTAATCATCTGGTTGTATTTAATAATGTTCAGTAGTGATTATAGTTTGTGACTGAAAGAGTTCTTTATTTTAAAGCTTAATAACATCATACTAGGTAGTTGAGGAAGAGGGGCAGTATTCTAATGTATGCACTTTATGTAACACTCATTCAGACAAAGTATTTCACAACAGCCAGTGATGTTTTTTTATCTTTCTCTGAATGTCAGAACCTCTATTTCTTACAGTGTGCCATTCTTTTAGATATTACAGACGTCTTTGATGTTTTGACTGGATTTTGTCTGAATAAAAAGGCAACTGGAACATAAACATTCATAGTAATGTGTACACAACTAATAGTTTTTCTGGACTTGCATGAGTTAAAAGAGTTGTAACAATTTGTTGTTTATTTATGAGGAAACATTGAAGTTTGGTTTAGCCTTGTTTGCTTTAACTAGATGTTTAGAATGCTACCTTCTATTAGGGCTTGAATGTCACCATAACATGGACAATGCATATGTCTCCAACCAGGAAAAATCATTTCAGAAGTAGCTTAAACACAGCTCCTAAAACATAAAGACATCAGAAACAAGGAGCTCCAAAATGCTTTACAGAAAATGGATGCACCCATTAGGCCATGAGCATTCAATGTATCAGCCTAGACAAAGTATGCATTAATTTTTTTAAAAGTACATAAAACCCTACATGTACATGCTATATACAGCATATGGAACAATCTGTTGATGGTAGACACATAAATAAAAAAATACCTTTGTTCATCTTCAGCACACCAAATATATTTTTACTAGAACGCTTTCAGTATATTCACTAAGAATGTATTCAATTAATTAATTTTTTTTATATGAATTTGGAAATTTTGTGGTGCATTACAAATATACATACCCACATTCAAAAATAAAGTGGGTGTACAACTGGCTACAAAATGAATAGAAAATGTACCGAGAGGAAGGTTTCACGTGCATTGTGAGCAATGATGAGAGAAGCCCTTACAGAATAAAATATTTATGATGAATTTGCAATACTGTCACTACTCAGTTCAAGACAAATCCTCTCAAAGCTAAAACAATTTCTCCATTCCCCCCTGAAATCAGTATAGGGTAGTTTATAAAGGGCGACAAATAGTGTGGCCCTCTAGAACTGTATATTGGGCTGCTGAATCTGTTTCTGGATTTGCTGCAGGAACTTGTCTTGGGAGAGCAGAGTTCCATTTTCCTTCCATTTTGTAGATGAATTTAACGAGGAACTCCTTTTGCCATAAAAAAGAATCAGTTGAAAAATGATGCTTTCAAAACACTGTTGTAGCCTATGTTTTTTAAACAGGTGCATGGTGCCCAAATAGTTTCATTCAAGCCCTATCTATCACGTTCACAGCACATACCTCAGCATTTTCTCTTACCTTTAAAATTTCCATATGCTATGCCTGACAACTGGCTGGACTGAGGTCGTCCAGATTTTAAGAGCTTTGAGGTCCCTTAGAAAATAAAATGTGCATGTTTTTCCCATTCTCTGTAGCTTTAAAGGGGAATTTCTCCCTGTGTTTAAACCATTTGTAATAACGATGTCCCCTTAAAAACCTAGATTAAAAAAAATATATATTCTATGCAAAAATCCTCAAGCAGTCTTTTTGAGATTTATTAGAGCATCATTGTAAGGAAAGGCAACAGTACTGTAAAAACAGTGTCCAAAGCTCCATTTCAAAGGACATCTGAAGTTTTAACCTTCAAAATATCAGTCATTTCTCTAATGGTACTGATCGATAAGGATGCAGTTAATACAAAACAGAGTACAATGGGGTTCTTTTACAAATGTTCTGTTTCTGTTTGACAAAAACTGAGAGTAGTGTTAGTCAGAGTCTGAAAAGATACTCTTGTAAGTTTTATCTCACAAACAGAATGGTGAAGACTTCAAGATCTAGTTGTCCATTCACCTATCCTTTTTCAGAAAGTACTATTAAGGGTCATGACATACTATAGCTTATCTCAAAAGCACAGGGTGCAATAGTGGGACAACAGTCTGGACCGGACACTAGTCCACCGCAGGGCACAAACACAAGGGCAAAATTAGAGATGAGAGTCAGGTGGCAGCCACACTAACTGCTACACAACTAAGTCACCCTGAAAATGTCATTACAGTCCCTCTCCATTCCATTAGAGGTCTCAGCATGGAAAATGGCCCAGGTCACAAAGGTTAAATCTTTTAATATCTAATAGCACTAAAGCCTGCTGACACTTTAAACCTCATCGAATGTCATATTGCAATTTCCTTAGCTTAATAAACGAATGTAAACTCATACCAAGCTTTTGAAAAATGTGTTTATCCATGTGCTCAAAAATTGTAACAGTTTAGTACAACTTTGCTCTTCTATGATCAGCACAAGGGCAGGGTAGGCGTTCCACCTTCCAAGCAAATATACTGTAAGGCTGAATCCATGCTTGAGATTCTGGTAAAGCATTAGACTTGCTAAGCAACACTTACAAATGCCAGCCTTTAATTATTTTATGTTGGTGTTACCTAGATTTTGCATCTTGATGTGCCCTTTACTTGCAGGTTCAGTGGAAGGTCTAACAGAGGCTGGTGGTGGTATTTTTTCCACGGTCAAAGCTGTTTTTTAAGAAAGATAATAGCCCAATGGTTTGAGAGAATGTCAAAGGGGAACCAGATACAGGCCTGACAGGGAAGCTGAAAGAGATATTATCAGGCCTCAAGAAACAAAACAGCATATCAGATTTTTGCTTTTGAACGTACAGCTTTTCACTTGATTGTCAAGAAACTTAAGTGTGCTTTTCTTTTCCCATATTATCCTGTTTTTAAGACAGTCGGGCTATTAACAGCACAGTTTTAGGACAGCTCCTTACCCCTCTACAGGGCTCATATGTGTATATTCTGAGCTGTTTTCACAGGTTCTAGTGCTACTGCACTGAAAATTTAATCAAGTGGACTAGGGTGCTTGACATAGGCATTCGCAGAGGATGCCAGACGTTAATTTCAGTCTCGTGCATAGACTATTATATACAAACATTTTTGCTTTTACTATGGGCTGTTCAGTCCATTCAGAATCTCTGGTGTAGTGGCACAGTCAATAAACAAACTGGAACCTTAAGAGCAATCCTAAGCTACCTCTAGACACACGCAAGCAAATGCAAACTACAAGAGCCTTCTTTAAGATTAAAGTTTTCAGATCATTGTGAAAGAGTCTCATATCATGCATATACTGTATATGAAGAACTGATAACTTGGTTGTATTTTTAACTCATTAATCAATTGGAAAAAATAATAACTGTGTGGGGTTTTATTTGTATTCAGCTGTGAGGGCTGTTTATTGATTTCTGTTTTCCATTGATTAACTAGTCGTGTAATTCACAGTGACTAAGACACACACACATATCAGTACACTGCGGCTGTATAGATACCTGTCTTCTTGCTCTTTCCATGCTCTTTCTGCCCATACTTTGCTTTTGAGATGACTGTGTATTGCAGAGAGACAATGACACTTTAGAAATAGAAAACCTTTTGTCATTTCTAAATTGCCAAAGGAATCACAGCTAAACCTATTCAGTGAAGGAAGTGGGGAAGAACTTACACAGCTTCAAGACTGTTCTATGGCTTTTAAAATGTCTTCTGTTAAAGCACAGCAAGGGATGCTTTTAAAAGCATTTTACAACCTTTTTTTTGACTTGCTTGTAGGTGTGTTCTGGTATAACAAGACACTATAACTGGACACCTTTAGTTGTTTGTTTTTCAAGTACTGCAGTAGGACTTTAGGTGGGACATTTGTTTGTTTAAAAAACAAGAAGAAAATTAGATGGTGAGAGAGAAAAAGACAGACTTCCACAACATAGCAATTGAGGTAAATACCCTCATGCTCACAATTTGCATCTTTGTGTTCTGAATACATTGAAGATGGTATTTCTCAGAATATGAGGTTTATTCAGGGGTGTAATTTTATGAGATTGTGAGGGGGCCCGCAGGTGATGCTTGGGTCCTTTCTGTGACTCTATATGTTGCGCTTCAGTAGTTTTCTGGGGTTGAGTGTAAACAGTATTTTGAGGTGCCCCTCCCATAAAATCAATGTTTTAATATGCTATTTGGGGGCTCCTTATTGGACATGCCTCCATGCACACCCCCAGTTATATGACTCCCTTTTTTATGACATTTAAACATGCAGAACTGTGAAAAGCAGACTCTTTGTGTTCGATGAAAGTGACCACATTGACATTGTCCAGTCCAGGATGGGGGAGAAAGGCTATTTCTGAGCCCATGACAAAGCACACCATCAACCTCCCCTGAAGGGCAGTGTTTATTCCTGCTATCTTTGAAGGCTTCATGTATCTCAGAACAAAAAAAAAAGTTCAATAGATTCCTCTGTTTTACTGGCAAACTAACACCATGGTTCCTTCCGCCCATGAAATATTAATCAGTTGATCATTCAATAGCCATTTAAAAATAGATCAAAAGGTTTGAGCTCCAACTATATATAGTTTTACCTGTTACAGCTGTTAACATATTAAAACAGCTATGTCAATGAGAGAGAAAGACTGAGAGGGAGAGAGACAGGGAAAATACTTTTTTTTGTGTACTTTAAAAAAGCTTTCAGACATACTGTAGTTGACTGACACCAGTGATTTATTGTGTACTGTTAATCAAAGGATGAATTGCAAGACCTTATTCTTTCTCAGAATAAAATAAGAAGATATATGCATATGAAAGCATTTGTTTACTCAGACTCCCAGATACAGGCTACATGTTCATACAACGGTTCTAACAAAGAACACTTATTGTTACAAAGCAATAGTCACCCCTTTAGGACAAAAAAGAAGTGTAAATTATGTAAATGTAAATGTATTGATGTGTGCTATCCTTTTTCATATGTTTACAATTCCAAGGCTTTTTTGACAAAGGGCAACTTTGCAGCTGATGACTGGCAAGTGGTAACAGAAGAGTCCTATGAGCCAGGCCACTTCCCCATGATTTGCCATTAGCATCTGTTATCATCCCCCAAACGCAGCAACCACCAAACTACATTATGATCAGGAATTATGATAGCTCAACACATCAGTTAAAGATATCACTTTATTGGCCATATACAATTTCTTGCATTAGGAATTTGTCTTTTCACCTACCCCAGCTTGCTCTCCATGAGACATACAGAAAGAGAGAGATAAGCTTGGGGTCAGAGTGCAGGGTCAGCCATTTATATGGCACACTTTGAGCAGCTGGGGTTAAGGGCCTTGCTCAGGGGCTCAATAGAGTAGGATTCCCCTGCCAGCCATGGGATTTGAACCAGCAACCTTTCAGCCACAGGCACAGATCCTTAGCCACAGAGCCACCACTCCGCCCTAATGTATGACATTGTCATATTGGACAAAGTCAAGTAACTTTGTTAAAAGCAGCAGTGCAATAGGAATAATTCTCCCATTACACAGCTGTTTGATTGAAAGCTGGAGACTATTATAAAGCCCAACTCCACATGCTGGACGATTAAGGTTATTGACCTTATTCTTAATCAGTGGATTCGTATACAGATTGTATAGCTATAGCATAAAAGCAATGTATGCAGTACACAGCAGTTAAATTCCATACAATCTGTAAAACAACACACAATATAGAAGACCCAAAATGGACAAAAACTGCTATGCAGTAGGAGAGCCCAGAAGGCTCTGGGCTCCAGTCCTTGCAGAGGCATTACTTTAGTACCCTTGAAAAGTCACTGTACTCTGATTGCTTCAGTGAAATGCTCAGCTGTATTAACTGTAATACAGTTTATGGATAAATGTGGGAGGCAAATAAACCAGTGAAAATAATACATTAATAATACAAAGAGAGGAATGCAGCCTTTCTGTTACTTACAGTACATGCACGCTGTAGCAGACAGACAACAGCAGCCCAATACTGGACACATCGGTCTGAACAAATTGCTGGTTATCTGGAATCTGTTCTTCACTAACTGTCCTAATCAAGGATTTACCTAATTGTACTCATCTCTCCGTTGGGAGTCTCACAGTTTAATTTGCACTCTTTGCCAGCAAAAAGCCCTGTGGTGACACAGCATTCTCTCAGAATAAATCACAGGCAGCACACCATTATCACAGCCTGAGCCCCACTGGGATTTCCAGTGGTGGATGGAGGGGGAGGGGTCCAATTCCCTTCTCCGCCTCACTCATATGTAAAACTGGATACTTTTCTACTCTAAATGCCATCTGGAGGATGATTCAGGACAGCCAAACTTCTGCCACAGTTCACACATTTTGCCTTTCATATCGTTCCATGATGCTCTAATCATGAACAGAGGTGCCTTTTCTTATTCAGGGTTAAGAGAAACAATCTGGCATGAGCTTTCAAAGGCTTTTATGGGCTTCTTTGAATGTGCATGAATATTACTGCTTTGAGTCTGGATGAGCTCATTCTTCGTGCACAATCATTCCAGTGAACAAATAAACATTGCAGAGAAAATGTCATAGCTGTAGTGATATCGGCAATCTTCCCTTTACCTCTTTCATGTTGTAACACCATTGTGTATGTGATGTTAGGAATCTGATATTGGCTCTTTAAAATTTTAAATACACACATTTTCTTTCTGTACCCCAGTGATTGTTTTATCTTGCTGTTAACCTCATATTAATGCAAAATCATAACAAACTGAGTGAATAATGGAGGGAATTTTGTTACCTGTTGTTAAGAAAGGCATGTTAATGTTACTGTACTGTATATGTGCTAAATGGTCAATCAAGATTTAATATGGAAAAGAAGTTCCGGTGTACAAATCTCATTCCAGCCTGAGAGGGAGGCAGACCATGCATGTTGTCCTTCAAAACATATCTGCCTTTTTTCACACTGCAGGATCCCACAGTGCCTTCAGTGCAAGTTTTTATCAATTGGAGGAATGACGTCGTTCAACTGAAAAAAGCTGCAAGCTCACAGTCGCACACCTAGGGCCCAGCCAGTGAACCATTAAAACTCACCAATATGAGGTACTTCCCAGCCAAAAGTGGGCAATCCAGGTCAAAAGTCACCTACTGTAATTCCACAGGCCAGACTTAAAATTTAATAATTACAGCAATTGTTCATTCCTAGCACTTGTTTATTGATCTTAGTGCCAAAGAATCTCAACATAATATATTAATATACTTCTGAAATGCAGCATCTACCTGGTTGACATAGCAGATAAGGTGCCAAAATAAAAAATTCCTTCACCAATTAATTTAAAAAGGAAATTTTAGGAGGCCAGAGTTTTTAGACCCAAAGAGGAATTTAGACAGTATGTCAAGGTTAACACTCCTCTTGTAATTAGCACCAAAGGAACTTTAATTACTAAGAAGTGTGGACTTCGGTTTCACATCTCATCTAATGAATATTGTCTATCATATTAAGGTTTTCATATTCTGGTCCAGTGGGAAGAGTGACACCTATAGGTCCACTGACACCCCTTGCAGTCGCAGTCTTTTTTTCCTTTGAGGTCTCCATTCTTAGATGTAACACGAGGGAGTCTTGAATCTGCTTCAAGAGTCAACTTCATCAGTTACAGGATATAAAGCTGTTAGGTCTCAGCCTGTGTGCTGAAAGAGCACTTTCACTGGGTGAGCCACATGGGAGACAAAAATTAGAAATCAATCAATATTGACATTAATCATAGCCCATTCCTTCTTAGAGTACAAGAATGGACAAGTACATCAGTGAGCTTTGTATCTTGCCTTTAAAGAGCTGCAGTACTTTGCTACTATTGCCTCTGAGTACAGCTGTATAACTGGTGTTATGATACCCTGTGATTTAACAATTAAAAGCTTGAAAATTTGATGTGGAGTATGATATAATATTAACAACATTAGAAAGGGAAGACAAGCTGAAAAGTATGTTGGGAGAGAGGATTGTTCACTCTCAATCATTCTTAAAATGTAAAAAAAGTCAAAAGTGTATTGATTTACTCATTAGTACATTCTTGAAATTTTGAAAGTGTGATAAGTACACAAGTACATAAAAAACATACAATATAAAATAGCAGATCAATTAGCTAATTACATGATTATTAATTAACACCCTATCCTTTTTACTGTGCTTTTACTTTCCTCCACACTGCAAGCAGCTCTGTATTCCCTTCAGTTGGCATGATTATTAATATTGTGATTCATTCTTTTATTCACAAATGCACTGTCATTAATGAATCACTTGTATTTTGTATAATGAATCACTTGGCTTGTATTTTGGGGCAAATATGTAAAGTGCATTCTTCAGGGGCTTGGAGTTACAGTATCTTCTCATTTTGTTGGTGTTAGATCTACAGAGCACCTGAACTACAAATTTCTAACTAGGTAACGGAGTGATTAATTGCTTGTAAGCTGTACCTCAAAAACAAAGTTATCCACTCTAAATACAGTATATGGAAACACTTGAAAAGTTCAGTCAATAGTCTTTTCCTGTATATTGTTACATCATGAGAGATTGAAATATGCCTGTGGAAAGTGATGATACTTGTGCCTGCTTTGTGCACTCTTCAAAACCTCATGACGAGACACACAGTAAGGAATGAGTGCTTGTGAGTTTGCATGTACACAGGTGCAAACTCTTAGAATTCTTAGAAGGCACACAAGGTCTCTGGTTTAAATCAGAAGGTGGCAATGCCATGGCCAAGTGACTGAGAGAAGGACTGCACTCTGGGAATGTTGCTGGCAGGAAGGGTGCCACATGAAGTCAATAAGAGATTCTGGATCCAATCACTCAGCAACGCTAGACTCCAGCAGCACTACTAATGGGCAAAACATACCCATAAGAGACCAAGACCAGAGACACAGCAGTTATAGTGGCCAGCACAGCCTGGAGCGTGAACGACCCCCAAACCTGATTACAGAATATTAGATAAATTCCCGTGACATCAAGAGACTAGTGCAGTTTACGCCTCATCCTCAACATGAACAGGGGTCCTTGTTTATATTGGTCGGAGGTGGTGTTTTCCAAGGAAGCGGAGTCCTTTGTCCCTTTTGGCAGTTGCATGACATATTTATACAAGAGAATGAAATATTAATGCATTAGGGAGCAACACTGCTTTGCTAGCAATAATGGTAAAAAGGAACATTCATGCCAATTCTAGAAGTGGGTTTGGATGCTAATCTTACTACACAGCTGTCACTTGACCCACTATTACAACAACACCAATATCAGAGTAATCCTTTCATCTTTCAATATTGTAATGAGGGTCTGTCTCTGTCTGGAATCCCCATCATACAATGTGGCCTGTTGGTCTATAATATCTAACTAAGTAAGGGAAAGGCTGGATGGACATTTACACCATCAGTTAGCTTTGCTATTCGGACAGATACAGTACATTACTACATGACGGTTGGACGTGTGTTAATTGTGGACACATTAGATGATGATCACTTACACAGGGGTACCTGATGTAAATATACCATGTGGTTCCTATCACACATGACTTCTTGTCTATCTTCATCTTGTGTACAAATGCACAAATGGTGTCCCATCCACAACTGAGAGAATCGATTTATCTTATGCAGATTAAATTTTATCTTGAATCTCATTTTACATTTCTAAACAGGTACAGTGTATTTAAAAATAAGAAAAAAGGACTGTAGCTTCATTGTAAATGCTTAAACCCCAATATTTAGTATTGTCCTACATCTTTAGTTTTACTATGTATAATGACAATGAAGAGCTCATTAGATACAATTAAGTCTAATTACTGTATCTCTACAAGGCATTTTCATTGCCTAAATCATATGTTTCAAATTTGTAAAGCTTCATTTCCAGTAATTGTGCCAGAATTGCTATTGTCACACTCTATTCTAAATGTGTTTTTTTTCAATCCAGTGATTTAGTTATTTCTTCTTTGCTGATAATCCTTGAAACAAACTCTACAAATCTCCCCCACTGCCATATTTAGTCATTAATAATCCTGCAACTACAATAACATCAGTCGTCCTTCAAGGCAGTGGCTTTGTAGTATGCCATTAATCATTGTTTCCTTTTTTTTTTTTGCTTTAAGCATTGTGCAATCAAGTAGGCTTTGTTTCCCTATATGTTTTTGTGTTGACAGAGAACGCAATCAAGCTTATATAGAAGTCCAGGAAGCACATGGCCTAGGATATATATTCTGTGGAATAAAACAAAGGCTTCTAGAATGCGCTGCGAGTCTTGTACATTTGCAATAAAATATTAACACTCTCCTGGTCCCTGTAACACATTTCCCTTCAACTCTGAATCATGAGTAAAAGGAAGCTTAATAGGAGAAACTAATGTAATAGGATGAAGTGACTGATTAGAACAACTAGTGGGGCACACTTTTGTCTGGAACAAAAAGAAAAAGCACAGAGACATTGTCCAAGAAGAAACAATATAAACTGCACTCCCTTCTTCCAAGTCATATCAGGTCATTGGATTTAGAGAGGTGAGGAATTTACTCAGACTGTAATGCTGTGTATCATCCTGCAGAAACACAAGCTAAGCGCTCTGAAGGGCTGCTTTCATAAAAGGTGCACCACTCTCCAGTATGTTAAGAACTTTCTCTTTCTGGCAGTTTAATATTGTCGGACAAAAATGAGCCATGAAAGGTGGTGAGTTTGTATTCACCCCTATTGCAAGTCTCTCACTGATGTTAAATAGGGATTAGTAACACATTTCAAAAACCTTTAATCCTTGCATTAATTACTTTGTGCGGTTTATAACCACTCTGCATCTGCTGTCGTGTCATTTCCAAGCTGTCAGAAGAAACATGGAAAGGTGGATAAAATCCTGGATTTCCCAAATCTGTAATTCAGGTTTGTATAAACTACCATGGGGACAGAGGCAAAGAAAGGTACACAATTTCTCTGACAGCGACACAGCAGACATGTGCTGACTTGACAGTTTCTGAATTGGGAGAAACATTAACAAGCAAAAAAAAAAAAAGAAAGCATTCTTTTTTGTTAGGCTGCTGGGTCATGTTTATTTGACTTTGGGACTGTTTTCCTTATGGACCTGGGGCTGCAACCTGGCATCAGTTCAGCACTAAGCCCACCCCACCTCCCCCCCCTCCTTCTCCCCTCTGGGATTTAAGCTGTATGCCTGTCCCAAATCTTTCCCATCTCATCGCTCACAGCCCTGTCCCTGACCTTCTCAGATCACACATCAGCCCACATCAGCTCGCAGATCCAACATCGCACCCGTCCCAGTGGGACCGGTGCTGAAGAGTGGTGATGACAGAGAGTGGGAGGACCAGAATGCTGAGAGACCCATTTACTGCCTCTCTCGATCTTTTCCCATCTCCCCTCTCCCCTCTCTCTCTCTCTGTTTCTCTCTCTCTCGCCTTTTCCCTCTTTTACTTTTAAAAAGGTTTCAGTAAAGATTAACAGTCTTGAGGGACTTTTTATTTGCTCTTTATAGTTTAGTTCACTCTGGCAATTACATCCGGTGTATTGAAGGGAGGCATTTGTTTTTGTAATGTTTCGTTTTGATTCATTGGCCACAAGGAGCTCTCTCACATACCAGGGAAGGGAATAGTATGAATTTTGTGAAAGCTGAAACTAGAAACATTTCCAAAAAGGAAAAGAATCCAAGTATCTAGCTTTTCCAGGCTGTCATATTTTGTGCCCTCCTGGTTTCTGCACAGAAGCTTCAGTAGTGTAGACACTGAACGGTAACGTAAGGAAAGCTCAGTGTATGGCACTGTTAAGTTGGCACGATGGCCTATATACCTTAATGACTGATTTAGCACAGCAGTAAATGTTTTTAATCTCCTTTACTGGTTCTGGCTTAGGAGAGAATGTGGCACACTATTACACCTATAAATCACTGTAAGTACCAAGGATCCCAGCTGCTGAAGATCTGCTGGGTCTAGATAAAATATGATTTCAGGTTGAGTTTTCTTGCCAACCTGGAACAGTGTTTGGAGAGGTGATGGTGTGCTTAGATCATAAGGGATCCCAGGTCAAAAACTGCCTGAAGACCAAATGCTGATCCTGTCCTTTAAGCCCTATTGCAAATTGTCAGAGAGAATGATGCAGCTTGTTCATAAGCCACAAGATAAATGAAAGCACTATATATTGATGAGAACAGTAGTTTAATTTCTTTTGTTTTTCTGCCACGTGCACTGAATTGTTAGACCTACAACTGCATTTTTGTGGAGTGCTAACAGGCCAAGCTCTGTTAGCCAAGCCTTGGTTATGTGCCAGCACACCTCACACACCCACATTCAGGATGTACGTTGGTGAGAAATCTGCCAAAAATGTTTGTGTGAACTGATGATGTTTGTTCTTGCGCACAGATGTTCCTGGGAACCAGTGTGCTAGTAAATGCTTCACTGGCATTTTGATCAGTCCCATCCACTAATACAGGCATTTAATCATCACTAATTAAAATGTAATAAACTATTCTGCATCTCTTAATGGAGGAGAGAGACGCACCATTATTCGCACTTACAAAGCAATAAAACTGAAAGAGACAATTATGAAAACTAAAACTCCTACTGGAATATCACTTTATTTTTTGTCCCATAGGGTCCAATAAAATATAAAGCAACTTAAATGTTTCAATATGTATATACATAAAATATTACACATCTCAGAGTAACTCACAGTCAGCAGTATAACTTTTCCTGTTTCCCATAAGTTCTTAAATTGCATCTCAGAGTCTGCTCTGAAATGCATTTGTTAGGACTGCTATGCTTAATTTCTAGGCAGCGAATGAATGCTTCAGATTCTAGAAAGATATAAAGGACAAAATTCACTTTCTTTTTTATTCTGTAAGTTATATTGTGGTACAAGGTGATATGGTACAAGTGAGCCTCCATTAATTAATTAAAGAAGTAATCTTTATGATAATAAAGTATTGTCAAAAAAGAAATAATAATTACTATATCTTTCTTACAACTATTACACTTGGATGCTGTCTATTGGAACACCTTACCTTGCTCTTCTTTTAACATTTGTACTGTTTCCTCTCGGAGGGAAGGGGGTGGTGGTAGTGGGCTCTCTGTCTGAACAGTGGAGGCTTGAGGGGCTTGGTCTGAAGCCGTTACAAGCTCTTGAAGGAATAATTTGAGAAAGTATTGACTTGATGACATTAAGAGCCACAACAGGAAAGGAGTGCATTTGCATACGAGCTGCTGTCTCAGTTTGTTTTCTAAAAACGGCAGCGCTGTCACGTGACGCGCAAACAATGCTGAGCTCGACAAAACCGCTCGCCGTTAACCGCTGCAGTGCCAAGGCCGGTCCACAGCTGAGCCTGCTAGCCAGCTGTGCATCCTCTCATAGGTGGGTTTTTTTTTTTTTCGGAAACCCTGTAATGGGTCTGCAGCATTGCAAAGATCAGAAAAGAAGAGCAGGCTTAGGATTTTAAACTAGTCAAGAGATGAAATATAGATGGTCACAGCCCAGATAATCTAATCATAGGAGTAGAAACATAAAACTAAATTCTGTGGCTTTAAAGGAAACACGATGTGAAATATTGATTACTGGAAGTTTAATGCCTCTTTTGAACTGGAAACCGGTTATACGAAAGGCACATAAAGCGCGGGTGTCTTTGTTAATTCATGAAATGTTTATTACATTCATCGTGCCCAAAGGAAGACAAAAAGCATGTCTCCCTGCCTCCCAAGCTTCCTGAGCTTTGGCACTGTAGGTGTTAAGTAATGGGGATTGCTGCAAATCACGGTGTGTACTCTAATGTTTCTGCCACGCGTTCTCTCCCACTCTCACGTGGGTTAAATTTTCTCACGCAGGACATCCTTACTCCACCAATGTTAATTTCATATTTATGCCAGCATCATGTTCTATAACACAAAAAATGTAAAGCACTAATATAATACATTACAGGGATTCTACTGTATAACCATGCAGTATAAAGGAAATGCTTTATTAAGTCTAACATCTACAGATAATTCTAACAGTTTATGAAGCAATCATCTTGAGCTTTCTGCAAAAGTGGAATTAAAATTATGTTCCTGGGATCCCTTTTCCAATAAGGTATCATAAATCCCGATTCAAAAAGTGAAGTTGTTTATTTCGCAAACTGAATTCCCTGCCAATTAGCATTTAGACAATCCATTTTTAATTTCATGGGGTGCTTTTTCACAATAAAAACTGAGTTCAGACATCAGCAGCAATACATTTTCTTTTTTTCCACCCAACCTCACCTTTTGTTATTACTAATGTTCTTATTAGGTTTGCAAATGGGCAGAGCTGTTCAGAGCCACGTACACTTCAAATAAGTCATATTCACTGCTACGCAGAATTGAAATCTGGAAGCAGATCTCGCTACATGAACCTTTCCATATTTGTGCAGCCATGGTTGTTTCAATAGTGATAGGCATTCTTGCTGTAAGAATATTTTTACGTTTTACTGTGTGATGCACAATCCGTTTGAGAATTAATGTACATTTTCATAGAACTCCTTTTAAAGCATAAATATTTTGTAAATCCTGAATTAACAGGGAAAACAGTACTCATAAACTGTTAGAAACAATTCTACTCTACTAGCTCTAAACGGGAAGTGAGAAATGATACATTTAGATTCCCACCTGGTTCCTTAGTGGCAGATTCACTTAACAGGGAGCTGAGTTTGGGCTCAGAGGCCTCAGTCATTCTGATGGTGGTTGTGGTGTCTATTTAGCAAAGAAGGGTCTTTAGTTCCAAGGACATTTTCTGGGGTGACACCAACTGACTGATCATTGTAAGAGTCCCTAACCTTGCCTGTTGGAAAGTTCAGATGAATGGATTGAAGAATAACTTCAAAATATCAACTAGAGACAATATAGAAACATTAACCTGATCTGTCACTTCTTTCAACTGTTGCCTCAACATTTCCTGCTTATGGCTTCTATAAGAAAATTCTGAGTTTTAACTCATCCTATAATAATGAGAAATGCTCTCAGGAAGCTGGTCTGTGCAAAGGTAATGGTTTAATGACTGGGAACTCTGATTGTGACCTTACACCCAAATGTATGTGTGACACATGTCCGAGAAGCACAGTTGGCACAAAGGCTTCAGCCATGTTGCTGATAGAGTGGAAATTGTTGAGGTAGAATCAGAATATCTCATGGCTTCAAGCAGTCTGGCACGTTGATATTTTATTTAGATTCTTCTCTCAAGCAGAGCCTTATACTGCCTGTGGCAGTCCTCTGACAACAGTAAAATATGTTTCGCTCTTGGAAAACAAAGCACAGCCCCCTAGACTCATTACAATCTGCATTCTGTTGTTCTTTATCAATTGACACAGTAAAACCTCTCCATTTTTACTGTCATCTGTCCTTATTGTTTATCCATGCAGAAGAAATACTATCAAGTGTGTCAATAAAGAAGTCTTCCATTCTTGTAAATGCAGGCCTATACATTTTACATTTACAGTGCAATAAAGGTACTGTATAAACACACTGCTTAGTCGATCACAACAATCCTACAATCCTTTTTACAGATGACCCCCCTCCATTGAAAGAAGCCAGTTAACCCCTTACAGATGCCAAGTTCAAACCAAAAGGTCTTTTATGAATTAACTGCACTTGTTTTAGAAAACTTGTTAATATGCTGTAGACCTACATGAAAACTCCTGTTTATCAGGGAAAACAGTCATTTCACTCCACGAAATTCAGTCTGCGGGGAAGGGATCTATGTTTCATACAGCGAGAAGGTCCCACACAAGCCTGTTTGTTTTGTGATCAAATGTAGACATTCAAAATGACGATTTTGAATTGATCCCATCACGAAACCTTGAAGTTATTTGCCAACCTCTGCTGGGCGCTTTAGATTTTAAACTGCTTTCTGTCCTCAGGAGGAGAAAACAGTTCTTGCCGCTGTGCCTCGTAGTTTCATGACGCTTCCTAACAGGCAGAGCTGCTCCCAGCACTTTGGCGGGTAGGGAGTGGGATTCGCTGATGACAGACTGCGGGCTGCCAGTTGGAAGCGGGTGGATTTTTTTGGTGCATATTTCCAAAACCTCCCCCCTCAGCCATCTGCCACAGTGATCGCCAAGCTCAGAGCAGATCAGCTCTACAAATGCCAGCTCCGATAATCTGGATCAGATCAGGCTTTGAGCTATTCTTGTAGAACAGCGCTCGTAGGAAGAAATATATAGAAGGGGTCAGGGGATGAGGGGACTCTTTCCAAAGCTCTTCAGCGCTATGTTTTTTTTACCCAGGCGTTCCTGAAACACATAAAACTAAAATTGATGACAAACGTCTCGTGACGCCTGAATTAGAATTACAAGGGTTTGGACAAAATCGGTATTTTATTTCCCGTTTAGTGTGAAGAGCACAGAATTTGGTGATATCTGCACTTCCACTGAGCTGACTTCCATCAACAAGCGAAGCAGGTGTGAATTACAGAAACCACCCCTGCGCTCATCTAAAAAGATGACGCGGTGAATCAGAGAGGAGGAATTTATTTAATCGAAGTAGCAAAGTAGAACAAAATCCCTCATTAACATTTCCTAGTCACGCTGTTACATGAACAGGTGTGTAGTTAGTAAAAGAATCATAAGGTAAAATCATTTGGGAAATGCAGGACTGAGAAAAAATATTTAACTACTTGGAAGTGTGTTGAAAAAGGATTCTTCGGAGTAACAGCAGGGAAAGTTGGTGGATCCTTGGGGAACGGCTGAGTTCAGCCTGGATGTGGCCTGAGCACAGATTGGCTTGACCTTAGAGAGCTGGTGAGTGGGAAGTGAGTGGAGCTGAAGTGTGGAGTGAGGCAGTGACAGCGGACAGCCTGTGACAGTTTGCTCTCCCGCCTCAGGGACAAGCCGCTTGCCTGGAGCTACAGTTTGCTCAGGGCAGAGGAGCATTCTGAGACCCTTCTGACAGAAACAGAGGGGACACGTGGGACTTCCTCAGGAGGAAGGAGCCCCAAGAGCAATTCCCAGAATGCTTTGGTGATGGTTTTTCAGTCTAACACTCATTCAAGCCCTTCCTGAAGGACTTTTTGTGCTTGTTTGATTTTTGTTTTCCCTGTATCTCACAGGCGACAGGGAAGATTTCATTTTTCCAGAACCAGGAAAAAATGTAGTTTACAATTTTGCATTACTGCGGTTGAATTTGCCATGAAAAGGGCATAGAAAAACCTGTTCATTTTTCATGTTCATGATTTTATTGCTTTACATTATTGATTGCGTTGCGACACAAATGGCTTATGAGGTTTCAAGTGCTGCACTGAAAAGTCTTAAGGAAAGCCTTGACTTTGTGGAGGACAGTGTTTTTTTATGCCATTTGTTTTTCTTTTTTCAGAATCCTGAGTGCAAGGCATCCCTGCAGATAAGAAATATAAAGAAACATATTATAAAACTATGTTATATATGGCAGAATCAATAAAGGAACTGAAAAATTCGAATGAACTATATGTGAACAGGCTGACACAGTGCCGTAGTGGTTAGCGTTGCTGCCTCACAGCTCTGGGCCACTGGGTTCAATTCCTGTGGTGCTGTCTGTGGCGAGTTTGCATGTTTTCCCCATGTTTGTGTTTCGTCCCACAGTCCAAAGACATACTGGGAAAACTGGCCTTGATGTGGGTGTGTGTGTCTGTCTGCACTGAAAAGGACTGGAGTGTTTGATGTATAAATACAAAATATTATTTTTTTTTCATTATAACACTTCACTGAATTTTAGAGTTCATCTCCATATATGTTTATGAGTATTTTTTTAGGATTAAAATCTATATAATATAGGTGGCATGGTGATGTAATGGTTAGATTTTAGTACCTCACATCCCTTTGTCCTGGGATCAGTTCCAACCTTCAGTGTAGAGTTTGTGTGATTGTGTGGATCTTTCCTCTGGGTAACTGGTCTCCTCCCACCTACCAGAAACGTGCTAGGTGAATTAAACAGTGTCTCTATACATAGTCCCTGTGCTTGTGTGCATGCCCTGTGATGAACTACCATCCTGGCCAGTATGTACTCCTGCTTTGAGCCTTGTGTTTCCAGGATAGACTCTGTGTTCTCACAACGCCTAGTTAAAATAAGCCATGGATACTGGTTAGAAAATACTGTCACAATATGTTTCTTCATATTTCTTTTTCACAGGGGCAGGGAAGCTAGGCCTACCTTATTCATTGCACTTTGCTGTGATTACAAATAAGAGCATTTGATGATTTAACTTTATTTAATAGAAAATGAATAAAAGAGGATTAACTAATGAAGCAACCAAATACTATGAATGTGATGTTATGAACCAAGGTCATGCAGCTCATCAGAATTAAGCTGTCCTGCTTCTACTAACCCTCTACTGGTATTGACAAACAACAGTGAACAGGAGAATCACTGAGAATCAAGTGGATGATGTTACGGAGATACGGGGTGTTCGGCAGGGCTCTCAATACAGAGCGACGTGTTGCCGCGGTAACCACAGCTGAGCCCAGTTTAAGAGCTAATGAGTCTCAGCTGGAGGAACGCTCGGAGTACAAGCTGAACAGTTCCCAGGGAGGGCGATTAAGCCAAGACCTTTAGGCGAGAGAGGAAGTGATAGATCAGCTCTTCGGTATGCGGAGGTTCGGCTATGAGAGAGCTGGGCCGAAGCAGGATAGTGGTGGGTGTGAGGCGCCGAGTTACGTGCGGGCGCTGTAAGGAGAGAGCGTCTGCCATTTGAGTGCAAAAGAGAAGAGACTAGCGCTACAGTAACTCCCCACAAGGGGAAGAATATGACCGACAGTCTGGGAGGAGACTGTAACCCCGATAAGGGGCATAGAGAGTGAGTGACACTTCTAGAGAACTGGGTATAACTGTGAAGCCTTAATCCCGGAAGGGACAGTGAGGAACGACAATATGTGGCGCCACCTGTCCTTGCTGCCCTGTTGAGGGTGGCTGAGAACATCACCACTCTCGGAGGAGACCAAGTGCAAAAGTGTGCCAATGGTGGCTGCCACAAAGCCCCGTGGTGTCACAGTGTATAATTACAAAAACCCAGTCACTTTGGCATTAGTAATGGAAAAAAGAAAAAACAGCACCAAAGCATAAAATAAATAAGCCGTATTTGCAGTACAAACATCGTTTGTTTTCATATTACCATTATAACACGGGATGATTCAAAACTGTCTCAGTTCTAATTTAATTACAGTGTTAAGTTTAAATGAGAAGTTTGTGTCATTCTGTTTCAGTGCACTTGTAAAATCCTGTCCTCCCTCAGAGTGTTACTGTGAACCCGGCGCCATACAGTCACCCAAACAGAGGAGCAATGTAAAGCTATTCTCGTTTCTTCTGTCCAAGGTTTAGCTCTCAGCTCCACAATGGCAGCTGCTGCAATGCCGATAGAAAATTCCATCTACAAACCAGACTCACTAATTATAAACACTGGCCAAATGGTTGCTCGTGGACTGAGGTACTGCCTGTCATTTTGGATTGGAGACAATCAGATCAACAGCAGTGTTATTTGGCTAAAAAAAAGAAGAGATTAGCAATTGACCACTCTCTTCCTCTGACACTCCTACCCAGATTTTTCAATGCTTTCGCAAATGAGGGAATGGATTTAAACGCCTGTTCCCAGAGTCTAGGAGACCCACAATGTGTTCTTTAGCCAAGAACAGATCATCCAAAGAAACAGCTGCTCATGATGATGCCATCTGCAACACACTTAGTTAACACAGAGGTGACTGAGTAATAGCAGGAAAATATTCCCTTTGTCATTCTCAGGAACTAAGAAGCATTAAGAAGGATGAGGGAACCTTATTACCTGCTCTAAACTCTTCTCATTCACACTAAAAGGGTTCTGTGTTAACAGACTGCACACAGAGTCAGTATGTGACCATATATGTGACTATACATGTGACCATACGTGGGACCTTGTCTGTGTAAATGTGAAAAGATGGCATTTGGAATCAAAATATGGATTGCAAGATATCTGCCTCTGTTATTGAAGTTCTGTCCTGTAGCTCTGAGATTGATATTAATCGTGTATGTCATAAGAACAAAAAAGGAGCTTCTGACTGTCGTGAAATATTTCAAAGTTGATTAATAATCTGTTCTTTGAATACTACTACTACTGCTTTTAGTACGCCTAGTATTCTATGATTAAGTGTTTCGAAGTGCATGGGTGTATAAGATATTGATGTGATTTTTAGGTATTGCAAAATATTGATGTGGGTCTCACTCTCAAAGAAATTTGTAAAGCTTTTAGCAGATGTCTGTTGCATTGAAGGGCAGTATCTAGAATACCAAGCTAAGAAATTTGTAAAGCTTTAGCTTGGTATTCTAGGTACTGCCCTTCAATGCAACAAACATCTGCTAAAAGCTAATAAATGTATTGCATGGTTTTCATAGACTAGTTGTTAATACGTTATAAATAAGTAGTTATTTTTTGTAGGAGACTACACACTGGATTAAGTGTCAGCACAGAGCTATTGTCTCTGCAAACAGCTTGATCCTCTTATTTCTGACAATACCGGTATATTAATCTGAACATACCAGCACGGGTGTTCACATTTTGCCTTCGTTCAAACAACATATATTGTCTTCATAAATGCACTATAGGTTGGTAATGGGACTACGAAGATTAAAAGATTAAATCCCAAAAAGTGGGGATAGAAAAAAGGCAGGCATGCTCCTTGTCATGGGTTTAAAAAGAAACTTCAGAAAGAAAAGAATAGGAGCACTTTAAGTGCCTTCTTGTCATCATGAAGTTTTAAACAGCAGGCAGTCCATCAAAGTGTGAATGGATTTCTGGAGCCTAGTTTCGCAGGGCAGCATGACTTCATTTGTAGTGACTCTCTTGATAAACTGGGGCTCTGTTGGCTAAGAATGAAAACTCCTAGCAAACACATGGCTTGCTAATACTTTGCTGTCACTCAGCTCCCTGCCGTTGTCCTGTACATACATTCTGAAAGCATTCTGAGGGTTCTGGACCAGTACTGTGGAAATAAAGTAAGAACTAACAGAGTCAACAAAACATAGGTGTGCATTTTTTTATTATTTCACCGCAAGTGTGGCTACACAATTAAAGGGTGATAATAAGGAATTGTTTAGCTTTTTCTTTTTTTCTGAAGTGCTTATTTCACTTGAATAATGTACCATAAATTGGTTTAATCTCAAGTGATAATAGCAATGAATGTCAATTTAATGAAAGAATTGATCAGACACAAACAGAGGCTAGATTATTTACCACATCCAGTAGCAGAAGCCATGAAATATTCTGTTTCTATTAACTGATTTAATTTAATTTCATTTATACTTGTTTCCTATCCTATAATGTCTGCATTGTTTTACCTTAGATTGCTATTAGCAATCAGATTAGTTTTTAGATTATGACAATTTAATTGCCCAAGCACAAACTGTTTCTACCTGAGTTTTTAAATTGAATTAAAGCAACTCAAATGGGGAAGCGTTTTACTGTTGCACCATATGCTTCAATAAGAAAGTGTCACACTACATTCCTTCCCTTGTATCTTTATGTGGAAGCAATCTTTAAATAGAAAATGTAGCTTCAAAATTTAATTAACATGAGTTACCTAACCAGGTAGAATGACATAAGAAGTAAACAAAGTACATATGTGTAAATAATTTAAAATTAAAAGACAAAACATAGGTTATTGAAGCCTCTCCCTAACTGTGTTTCATATAGGCCTTTGTTGCAGAGCATTTAATCTTTTCTTGTTAGTGTCTGTCCTGTCTTTTTCACCAGTTAATAAAGAAATGCTAATGTATTTAAAAAATGGTCTAGAGTTTTACTGTGCCTATCACAGCAATAAACACAAGAACTAATACTGTTAACTACAAAAACAAGTGCTCCCAAGGTGCTCAATTACTATACTGCTTACACAGAAGCACATTAATACACCCAAATCAGAAGGACACCCCCAGATACAGTAAGAACAGATATGCAGACATACAGTAAGCTTGTGTCATCCTGCTCATGTTTATGGTTTTTGATGGAAAAACCTTGCAATGGTACAACACAAGTAGCAAAACACGAAGGTAAGCAAACTAATTGCTGCTTACAGATTAATATTCTGTTTGGCATACTTATTCAGTCGGCTATTACGTCTGCTAGGACTAGTGGAAATACATTTTTTAGAGAAATATACTTTTATTTTGAGTGTGCAATTCAAAGCATGACCTTTGAAGAGTTAAAAAAACCTTTGAGTAGACTAATAAGCGAGACAGATGCACAGCAGATAAAGCTCTCTTTCTTTGTTGCTATTGTCAATTGTAGCAATTTTTGTTTCTAGCGAGTAATAATGTTGTTTAAGATTTATAGCTTATAGGAAGCCACCAAGCATGAACAGTTTATGAAAAACAAATGACTAAATAGCAGTAATCCTTTAATAACTTAACTTGACTTCATAATACAATTTTATTTATGAGCTCCTTCTGACAGAGTCTTCACACTGAATTTACTGTATATCCAACAGAGTTTCTAACCCGTTTGGGATAGTCCATTAGTAAACCATTTTACTCAAGAAAGTGCATTAAAAAGACGGTCTTTTAAACTACAGAAAATCAACATCTTCTACTAGAGACTGAAACCAAATACAGTACGTTTACTAGTAAAATAAATGACTGTAAAACGTCATGGGATTGTAGTGGTTATAAACTTCTTTTATCTTTAGTACCCCTGCTGTTCATGTTTTTATGGATAATTATTCTCTCCAGTTAATAATTTTTCCCCAGCTTACATGTAGTGTACAAATGCCCCAAAGTGCACTCTTAGTTTGCTTAAAAGTTTGTTATAAAGATGGCATTTCCTCTCTAGAACGATCAAATAGCTTGGGGACAGCAGAAGACGGAAGCTGATAACCATAAACCTCTAACTCTCCGGTCACGCAAACTACAGCACTAGATCTGCCTGACAGCTGACATGTTGGTTGGAGTCCCACCTGGCTGAATGGTTATAATTGGAGTTGTGGTGGCTGTCACCGTGGTAACCTGCACCGGCTCATCAACTACCAGTTCAAAGAGAAGACAAATATTGGAATGTGAGACAAGAAAATGGGAAAAAATATCAGTAAATCAAATATCAAGAAGAAGCTGAATCAGAGGGAATGTGAATCTAGCTATTTGTGATTTCATTACTGTTTTCAAATCCCCACAATCCTACTACTATGGTACCCCACAAGGCCTGTAACTATTAACCACAGGGAGTTTGCCACATAAATATATAGTCATACATCAGAAGACCATGAAAACCTGTTACCTACGCAATAAAAATAACATTTCAATGACTAGATTCATTTTAATGGCTCCAAAAGTGACAGAATTGATCCCAACAGAAAACCTATCAAACTCAGGTACTCGTTTAGATCTGTCGTCAGGCCTGTGTGACAGTCCTGTCGACGGCAACAACTCGCCACAAATCTATATTACAACACACTTCGTCTTCGAAAAAAATATTCAAGTCCCCTCCCCTTCTCTCTACGACATCATGACAACTTAAGAAAAAACTGTGGAAAAATTTTCACATGAGAGTTTAATGTTCAGAAATGTCACAGCAACAGAAAGACTTGCCATTAGTAAAAATAAGCAACAAAAACGGCAACAAAACGAAAACATGTGTGACACACAATCATGCATGATGGATTTCACGATAGATCTTCTTATGTTCTGTTCGACAGAGTTTTAGTGTATTACTTACTGCCCATGGCAGACCCAGAAGCTGCACCTGGAAGAACAAAAAAGTATAATTAAAAATAAATATTTAAATATACCTGTCTTTATTTATATCACTAAAATATATTAACACATTATTATTGGTGAGTGCAGGTTCAGTTGTACCAATTGAGCCTCCTTCTACTTTTTAATGTTCTGAAAATATTTATGTCCCCCGATATTGAAAAGACAGAGCAAACAGCTTGTTTTTATATATGAAGCTGACAGCTCTGTCAGAGACTGAAAAAGCTTTCTCTTCCCTGTACGCAGGTACCTGTCCCAGATTTTTTTATTTTATCACCATGGTATCCTTTTAAGGGACTTTCCCTTCTAACTTGTAGAAGAAGAAAAATCTTTTCAAGTTGTCGTCCTCTGTGTTCCTTTGGTGCTTTAAGCAAGAGAGTGAGTGCAAGCTGTTTCACTGGGATTCAGTTTCAGACCTTTGCTGAGACTTCAAGAAGTATTAACAGGAGACAATGTGTTGGAGTCTAATTTAACACTAACATTATGTGAATACAAACTCATTTTTTCTTAATTCAATTTTTATTGCACTATTATTATGATACTTTATTCTGTAACTTTTAATTTTGTGATTTTTATTTTTATTTTCACCCGGTGAGCTCTCAGAAAAGACATTTCATTGCCAGCAATTACTGCTGCATGCTGTATTATAGTGCATTTGATAAATAAACTTTGATTGATTGATTGATTGAGTTATCTGTGGTATTTAATTATAACATGGATAAGCAAAATGAACATATCTGCAGCTTTCTTGCCTGCTGTGCTATTTCTGACATTATACAATTAACAACAGTATGATGATGATCTATCATCATTATAATTCCATCCCATATGTCACAATCATTGTACAAAAAATATTTTCTGGATTGTGTTAGTGAGACAAAATCATTTATTACAATTATAGATCAGCTGAGCCATACAAATCATTACAAGCATGGAAGAATAAATGAAGTTGTAAACTGACGGAAGAAAATCATTTTGATGTGCCTAAGTGGGTCACAGAGGAGTCTGAAGCCAAAACTAATCTTAACCGGTAGCTTGGGTTATAATAGGAAAAAGCAGAGATCCAGGTATGCAGCAGTTCCATTAATTCCTCTTTTGGAGGGAAACTTTGCATGCACAAATAAGCTCAAAGCTTAGACATATCTATTAACGCCACATTTCAGTTAATTGCAAACCGTTCGAGCTCACCACAGGACAGTATGCTTCACTATGGCCGCGGACATGCTACTAATATTTTTCACCCAAGACTTGTGTGCCATGGCCCTGTAGGAAGAAAAGCACGGACATGCTTACAGGTGTTGGGCGATCCATGGGGTGTGGGCAGATAGGAGCCCGGCCTCCATGACTTGGCGCGGAAGTTCTTCTTGCATCGTCCGCAGTCCTGGCCAGTGGTGTTGTGCTCACACTCGCACTGCAGGGTGCCGTCCTCGGACGGCCCACACTGGCTGGCGTGGAGGTTGCACTTACACCTGCAGGGCGGGTAAAGGCAGAGGACCTGGTCAACAAAACGCTGCTGAAATGTCTGAACGCCCTGTGCTATGATAATCATCATCCTCATCATCATCATCGCTGGAAATGAAAACAATGCACAGAGAATTAGTGTAAAAATGGGAACATTAAATACAGGGTGTATCAGTCAATTATCACCCATTCAAATTTCTTCGTTTTCCAGTTTACAGAAGGTACCATATTTTAATTTTTTTAATCGTTTCCTAAGAAAGGATCAGGTCAAGGCAAGCCCAGTGTGACCAGTGGAGAGCTTATGTCGGCAAAGGCAGACATGTACTGTACTTTGCTCTTAATGAGAAACAACAGAAGTCCCTCAGTTTTGACATCGGTCACCTGCTCTTCAGTGTGTTGCATTATGTGATGTGCTAAACAAGTGTCTCAGCCAATTCTGCCTTGACAGCACTCAGCTTTGGACTGAATCAGAGAAATTCCGCTAAGTGCATGGGAGAATCTTAGGGTTTTCTCTAACTCCACCGTGCAGCGATGTGAGCTTTTTTGTTGTTTTTGGGATGATATTGTGCTCTGATTATCAAACGGTAAAAGCATTTCCAAAATGTACTCTATTTAAAGACATTTAAAGTGTTGTCATGGCAACACTTTCACTTAGATGGAAAAAAAAAGATGTAGCGATAGAATGATTGAATTTTAATAGTTTGGAGAGTAAAATAACCAATATACATAACAAACCCTTGGCAAGCCGAAAAACACCATTAATTAGAAACTAAACCCCACTAGAAACAAATCTGTTGACAGGAAGGAACACTTCCAGCTCATGTATTCAATTTGGCAAGACTGCAGCATTCTTCCAACTTGATTTTGGAGCTTCGATACCAAAATGAAAATACATATTGCAAAGTTGTCTGAGAAGGTGCTGTACTGTGGTTTATATCTTATGTCATGGAACGTCAGTTACAGTTACCTACATTTTTTGAATTTTGAAAGTGCAGTATCCATATATGCACACATGCACAGACCTATGGAGCTGGTTAATCCTTTGTCAGCAGAGACATCTGGAATTATCCAGGGATCTAAAGAGAGCACTTTGACTGCTCAGTTATGTGTACCAGGAAGGAAATGGAACGAGACTCCATAACACAAAAGACCTGGAGCATGCTACCTGTATGTCCTTCATAGGAAAAACTAAGAAGCACCTACAGTAGGTTTTGCTTCATGCCGTTTGCCCTTGATGGTATACTTTGCCATTCACTGACAGTCCAACACTTGCTGTATCATCTTTAATTGTGACTGAGAAAAATCTGTAAGTTTGGAGACTAGGTATCTCTTTATTTTATAGTGCCATAGCACCACTGTAATTACTATGTAATAATATTCTAGGTGTAGTTTCTTAAACGATAATGTGGTTAGAAAATGGGTGGATAGCTACTGGACTTTGAAATCCTTGTTTCATTTGAACTGGGTTAGAATTTACAAGCATACCTCACATTGCTTGAAAACGGTGTACCACAGTAAAAATACTCCTTTCGTTGAATTCATTGACTTTCAAGAAACAATGCTATGCAAATGACAAAACTATGCCTTCAAAGCGAAAGTGATATTGTTGTAAGAACAAAGTAGCAAAAAAAACATCCTCAGAATGGGAGGACAAATTTATTTACCTAAATAGTTAGAAACAAATTAACAGGAGGCTATGGCTGAAAGCGTCCATATGAAAATGATGATATCTCTAATGCATGGTTCCCATGACTTTTAAATCATAACCTTTACAGATGAGTGAATGAATTCCAATGCATTTTGTTCCGCTGGAGTGAACAGCTATCCATTTGCATTAAATATTCAAAGGGAGAACCTATGCTACTTCAGAAAAGCCGGCCTGTCTACATAGGGATTTAGTGCAGTTACTATAGTTTTTCATCTTAATATCTGTATTTGTACCATTAAAAGGCCTTGAAAAGACCTGAAAAAAAGTTCAGTTGATTGTTTCTTATAAATCCTGGAAATCAAAACGTACGTTTTCTTATTGTCTTTGCAGGATCCCACATAAGAACATTTCTAGAACATTGTTAGATTTTTAAAAACCTTTGTACATGTTTTGGATGCATGTAGTATAGTTCTTCCTCCCAAAACACATCAAATAGCTTTTTAAAACACAGATTTTATATGTAAGTTACTGAAATAATATCTGATATGTCCAAGACACAGACATTATATAATTGGATATGAAATATATATGGGAATACAAATAGGCTGAGGATTGTGAAAACAATAAATCATTACATCATTTTTTAAAGGTAAAATTGTATGTTCATTGCACAGGAAGTTTTAATTGCACCTCTCCCCTGATGCTGAGCAAGCAAGTCAACACACCAAGTGGCGTGTTTTAATTTAATTAACTTGAGTTTCAGAAGCTTATATATATAGCTAAATATAGAGTATACAGCTAGATGTGTTCTGCTTTTGGAAAATCCTCAATTCTGGAGGCTCTTTGAAGCTCTCTCAACAGTGAAACACAGATATCCAGAAAAAATATAGCATGGCACAGTGCCACCTACACCACAGTTCTGTTTGCTGCATGAAAGAGCTCTCATTCCTCAGTGTCTATAAGCATTCGAGTTCCACCAAATACCATGACTCTGTCTACAAGCAGAAATTTATCACACCTCACCACGTAAATCGGACACCTTTTATGCAGCATGTACTGTAAGGTTTGGTGGCTTTTATCAAGCAACAGAAGAGCAAAACCAAATGCATCTTACATAAAGTGCCTTACTTTGATGTAATACTGGATTAACCCCCAAATTCTCATCTTGTCCTGCTCGTATATGTTACATGCTTAGCCATCAAAAAACCCAGGGCACTTTGTCCATCTGTTTCAAACTCGTGAGCCTTTTAAAAGCTGTTTACATCTGTATGCTGCTGGGGACAGTCTGCTTAGGAATGTTTGCTTCCTGCTACTATCCCCTGGCACAAATAATGTATGAATGCATTCCACATTAATGTTTAAGAAGTCTGCAAGTATTAGCAAGTCATCAATTGAAAAAAATGATACATGTGTTAATGCAGCGCTTAATGCAGCCAGAATTCTGTGGGTCTTGATTTAATGAGGATCTTGAAATACAAAGAGAAAGCATTGCATTGATTCAAGCACCTTCAATATCTACCAATACAACATGTAGAGGTTTGTAAATTCCTATGTATTGTTATTGCCATGAACATTTCCAGTTATGAATGGATGAAATTTAAAGATTATAAACGCTTATAAACCAAGAAAAAACTAAGGAAATAATCATTTAGTCTAAAGGGAAATTTAAACTCAGCTCTACCCCACCTGGTGCCCTCCCATGGGGATGAATAAGGCTTGTCTAAGGACAGTCATTATATATTGCAAACCACTCACCACTACAGAAACAAATGTTGTGCAACATGTATTAATAGTCTAAGGTAAGGTAATGATTGTATGATGGAAAAACCTTTCTTTTCTGCTGTGGATTAAAGTTGAATGGCACACCTTTGGCAGTGTAGGTTAATTTCTAAAAGTAACTTTTCTCACTGTGGTAGTCTGTAAACGCATAGTAGATGTAATGAAATCTCAGGAACCACGGGAATGGGAATTTGCGATCACACATTTAAATGCTATTTTCAGCCTTGTCCCTGAAGCTCAAGAGCTCATGCAAAAAAAAAAAACGACTATTGAGCCAAATGACAGTCCAGCCCTGTGTCTGTGGAGGGCACTGTCCTGCAGTTTCAGTAAAACAAAAAAAAGAGAGCTGTTTCTTGCTTTGAAGCCAAAACCATGCTGCTATGCTGGGAGCAGACCCTGACCAACATTGTGTGCAATCTGGAATGGAAGAGCAAAGCCCATAAGGTCTGCTTTTGGCCCACAGTTGGTGTGAAAACGGAGGGCAGGGGAACGCTCCTAATGTGTAATCCACTATTTAGACCGATAAAGGCCTTCGTGGAAGTAAAAGGAACATATTGCTATTCTGGAAGCAGTCCAATGACAGGCTGAAAAAACTGAATGTTTTAGTCTTGAAAAAAGAAGGCTATGTTGAGATCTGATTCAACTATCCAAAATCTCTCAAAGGCATCCCAATGGACATCTTCACAATCAACAGGCATGACAATACAGGCATGGCATAGTTCAGATCCGAGATCAGGACGCAGTTTGCTACACAAATGGTTGTGGGAGGCTGGATCATGCTACCCGACCATGTTGTTCAAGTTAACCTGGCTTCTGTCAAGACGTGGATGAATGAGATCCTCTGATTTCACTTTATCTGCTGAGCATCATGCCATAGAGTACAAGACCGCTTCTCTTTCTTCTGAACAGGACACCAGCCCAAAGCCACAAAGTGAAGAACGATTTAGTATAGTCAATTAAACATAGCCAAGAACTTAAGCTTTTCATTCATAACAGGATAAAATGGAAGCAGAGTACAAAGTATTAGCAAAGAAACCAGACTTACATTTCGTTACAATCAGTTTATGGCTACTTTATGTTAACATATACTGCAGTGCATATTTACCTTTCAGATCCAGATCTTTTTAACAGGGAAATGGGACATAACTTGGAAAATAACAAAATGCAACTATTTCAACAAGGAAACAAAATTTTATTCCTCCTAGTTTTCCCATGCCCAGAGGAGTTGGGCAGCCAGTTGACCTTGGACCCCTAGAGGCTTTTTTCAACTTACAGAGGAGTTTTAACTCCAACACTAATCACCTTACTGCTCAGTTGAACTACAGCTTTACCATGATCTGATCAAGCCATTTTTGTTTGATAAAAATAAAGTTTTTACAAAAAATGGTAATCATGAAAATGAGGTAGTCAAATTGAATATAACTGCAGCCAAGCTAAATCTTCATAAACTGGCAGCACCAAAGTATAAATCTGAGTTATTTTTAATAAGTGTAATGTGTTCCAAAGTGACCACTCGTGCATACTGTAGCTATTGCTCTGTGGGATAAAGTTTTTTTAAAAGTATACTGTAACAGTGTAAAA